ACTGGTCTTTATACAACAAATCTTCCCTACTATACAATTGGAACATAAAGTCTATAACACCTAATAATGTATAAGTAATTCATTATAACCTTTATTTCATAGATGCATAAGGTGTATTAAGCACCTTCCAGTTAAACTCATTCTATAATGAGTATGGAGATGATTGCTTTTTTTTAATAAAAGTCGTATATTGGTTATAAAAGTTTTAATATGCGTTATACACATTATTCTAGATAAACAGTTTAATAAGCCCATTTCTTTCAGTGTAGATGGTAAAGCTAGTTATTAAAAAAAAATATTCTGTCAGTAGATAATTTTCCTAAGAGAAAATTTCAAAGATCCTCGCTTGCCCAATATAATAATAGGTAGATACTATCAAGTGTTTTTTTTTTTGTACAAACAATAATGTTCTATTTTTGTTCCCTTTTAGAAATTGGACGTAAACGAAGCTTTTGGCGTGTTTGTAAATTTACCCAAGATACTAAATGTTAGGTATGCCTATTTTATATAAACCCACAACATATTACAGCTGGTTTGCTAATTGCAAATTTCATATTTATTTGCTTACTTTGCGTCAAAGTTATCCGCATATACACGCGGCTACACAAAGCAATGCCAAAGAACTTTCAGCGGCTGTCACAGCGAAATAAAACTTAATGAAGTTTGTATATCTGCGGCGCTGGCCTCAGATTAACTTCCCAGTCAAGCTTTTCATCAAAAGAGCGTGGTACTTTGACGAAATTACTGCGAGGAGAGTACACCGGTATCACAAATCAAATGATGCTGTACAGGATTATCAGAAACTACATGAGATAAATAATTACGAATTGACTGTTATTTGAATTAAATAAAATAATCTTAGATTAGTATTCTGAGCGGCACGTATTAATATTACCCCTAAAAAAATAACCTCGATTTAAAGTTAGATGTGGCATATAAATAATCATAATACGCGGAAATTGTTAGTCAAGTTAATAGTATATTATTCAACGAGCGTATAATGATGGGTATTATTCACGAGGTGAATCACCGAGTGAATAATACTATTAAAAAGAATTGATTTAATGTATAAATATGTGTGATAAACCTAAAAAAAGAGAAAAAAAATTAACGAGATATTGACACAAAGATCATTATAATAAACTACTATTTTCAACAACTTTTTTAAGAATCAAATCATCACCTTTTCACAATGTAAATACTAAACATACACCTAAGTTAAAATCCTAACTGGCAACAGGGTATCGTCGTCATCACAACCTCAGCGGTGCGGTGTTTAAAATTTCTTCTAACTTGAAAAGTTTATAAAATTGTTTCGATTTTAATTTTCATGCTATTTGAAAAAATATTAGATGAAAAAAAGTCATACCGATATCAGGGATCGAACCCCGATCCCCAGCGTGACAGTACAACGCGTTGCAGTCTGAGCCACCACGACATAAAAGTTAAATATTCATGTCAATCTTTATAAGGTTAATATTTTGAAATATCTAATTAATAATATATATAAACAAATTAACAATTTTAGTTAGTGTCCAAACAACGGTGATATATTTTAATAGGTCGCTTAATTACGTCTTTGAGATTACAACGACGCTTTCAGAATCATGTTTGGTTAAAAATTAACGCCTGTATGTACAGAGGTTTAAAGTTCATAACTTTGGGAGCCTCCGTTATAAACAAATTGTGTGAAAACTATTGCACCTACAGCACCCACTGTTGACACACTTTTAAAGTATGACAAAACCCTCAACTTGTCATAGGTTTTATAAAATTTTAACAATAAATGCGATAGTTATTATAAACAAATTAAAAATGGGCACTTTTCTTGTTTTTTTGCAATTACTTTTTTGTTTATTAACCGATTTTAATTTAACGGGTCTCATTTTGTAGATAATTTTATCCCCTACGAGCTGTCCGTGAGTCACTTTTCCCTAAAATTGATGGTTTACCCTGCAAACTGAAAAAACTGTTTTCCTCACTTATTTGTCTAAATAAAAAAGTTAGCTAATAAAATTTTTTGACTCGCGAGATGAGAGATGTCTTGTATTATGTTCCTTTAGACAATTTTACAATAATATTGCGGATAGGACTTTTTTCGAGTTTCTCTTTTATTTTCCCTAATTATCCTGGTGTAATTCCCCTATTCCCTAAAAAGAGTACGTGATTTTTTACCAGAATGAATAAATTCAAGTAATAATAAAGTATTATTTTTCTATGAATTTCCGCAAACTTAGTATTTAAAAAAATTGCTCACTTCCATAGTTTTAGCCAATGTCTCCAAGATCTCCACGTTCTTCCAACTTTCTGATATGACGGGTCTGATTTTTTTAACACAAACCACTTCGTGCATCTGCTCGAGAGAAGGATTTCTGGGCACTTCGTCACGAAAAGGGGGAGCATAAGGGGGTGTGGGGCAGTCTCCAATATCACACCTGAAAAAAAAAACAAAACAAAACAGAATATGGTAATATTAACAGAATTTCTAATTGAATGAACTTTATTTTGATTTTATTTGTAGAAAATACTATTTTGCGCTACATTTTACTGAATTTTTCAGCACGGCAGACTTGATTGTTTTACAAAACAATTGAATATAATATACATGGCATACCAGAAATAAGTATTAAACTTTGAACATCAAAAGCAACATCTGTGTTCTAATATTTTTTCCATCATTCATATTTTTGTGCAGTAGTTTGTATCCATTAAAATATCACTAACGACCTGCCCCTAGTTTAAAAAAATATATAAATAAAAATCATTTCTACGCTTCGTTTTGTTTATTATTAACTCAATTAAGCATTTGCAGTTACGCTTCAATTAATATTTTTAGAAATTATATTATTTTAAAGATTAGGAGGTTTAAAAAAAATATATTAAACAAAATGCTTTGGCAGTTAAATACGTTGGAAACATTTTGGCACTTATGTCTGAGACACCCTGTATATTTAATTTATTTAAAACGGTTTTAGAAAAAATATTATGTGTGGTTTATTGATCTAAGAGAAATTTTGAGTATCTAGATTTGAAAAAAAATAAAAAAATGAAAAGAAAAATATAAACAAATCAAAAAACTAATTTACCTTCTTGTTATCTCCCAAAATACAAGACCACAGGCGTACATGTCGGCGGATTTGTGTGCCTCGAAATTTTGTAAATCTATCTTCTTATCCAAAATTTCCGGAGCCATGTATCTAGCAAAAAATATACAGGCGGTTTATTCTAATGCACTCGACAAAATAATTATAGGAGCAGAAAAATTTCAAAATCTATTCAGTGATTTTTGAAAGACTGTAACTTCGTGTAGAATGACCGTATCGGGAAAAAAATCAATGTCTTGAGCTTGAAGATTCTAGTTTTGAAATCTTGAGATGAAACATTTTTTTAAGCATAACTCTGGGCGCAATCAAAAGAAATAATGTAAGGCAAAAATTTTATATATATTTTTTAAACTACATATGGGCTCTGATATTTTTTTTCTGGTTTAACCAATGCCAGGGTCATTTAACTTCAATTTGCTTTTTTGTGTGCAAAAAATGGCTTTTTCTGGTGTTTTGGAGAGTCAACGACTATTTCTCAAATTTTGCGAAAAGTACCAATGTTTGTAGGTTGTTTTTTTAGCTCAATACATGCCTATGAAGCCTGTAAATTTTGAAATCGGTCGGTCGAACCGTTTTCCTTTCCTGAATCGTCAGTTTTATAAAAAAATTAAAGGTGCAGATTTATTGCTCCTTAAACATCAATTAATGATTAACACGAATCAAATTTTTTTACGTTATTTTTCTCACAATTTCGAATTAAATACTCATCGAATCTCGAAAAAAAAAAATGAAAACCAAAATTATTTTTCAAAATTCTAAAAAAATTTTTACTTTCTCTTTTTTACAATTTTATATTGAATATTTAAAATTTCGAGAAAGAAATAAACTTTTTTGAAATTTAAAAAAGTTTTGAAGAATTGAGTATTTAACGCGAAATTGTGAGAAAAATAACGCAAAAACTTTTGATCCATCTTAATCAATAATCATTAATTGATGTTTAAGAAGCAATAAACTTGCTCCTTTAATCCATACTAATTTTCTTAATTTTTTTCCTATATCACCATATTTTTTGTTTCCAGATGGTATTTTATAAGCTTTTCTACTTATTGATTGGACTATTCCTCTGTTCATAATTTTATTATCTATAAAAATTGTATTTCAACTAAAAAACAGATGAATGTAATAATATCGCAGTCGTATCTTAGACTATTTGACGAGTCAGGAAAGGAAAACGATTCTACCGATCTATTTCAAAATTTGCAGGTCTCACTGGCATGTATTGAGCTAAAAAACAACCTACAAACATTGGTACTTTTCGCAATATTTGAAAAATAGTCGTTGAAGAGGATTGATTCAAGTTTGTAAAAAAAAAATACCTTAAGTTCGCTGTACGATCATTATTTCATGAGATATCGATGATCAAATAAAAAAAGGTGACTTTTCACTCAACAGCGTATATCTCGATGAGAAATAATCGTACAGAACATTTACATTAATACCTTTTTTCCATATGAAATGGATGACATTGTATATTATATTATTTACACTGTGTCGTTTTTTATTTATTATTAATGATTATTTCCTAAATTTCTAACCTTTTACTTCCACATCTGTTTGTGTCGGGTATGTCCAACTTATTGGAAGCGCTATCGAACTTCACGGCTAACCCAAAATCCGCAATGCAGCACTCTCCGTTCTTCTTAACCAGAATATTTTTGCTTTTTATGTTCCCGTGAGCAATCGAGGGTTTCCCGTGTATCTAAAAAATATATTAAAAAATTATTAAAAAACTCTATTATTATTTCAAACTCTGCTGCGGCTGGAGTATTAAATATATCGATCGTCTTTAATAAGGATTAAAACAATACAAAAACGTAAAGGAACACTCACCCCGAATATCTCGGTGTGAAGATGGCATAAACCTCTGGCTATATACACACACACACACACACACACACACACAAACACAGCAGCAAAGTCGGCCTTACAGTGTTTGTTTGAAGAAAATCGTACAAAGAACCTGGCTTGTGGTAATCGGTGATTAAAAGCAACTGGGTCCAACCGCCATTACCTAAAAAACATTGAGATTACTGACAGATTTAGCAAAAATAAGAATTTTTTGTCTTATGAGCTGTGTGTCTATCTTATCTTGTTTTCGAGATACAAAGCGACAAAATAATTTTTTTTAAATAGAAATTTTACGAAAATTTCCAAACGGTTAGTAATATTTTTACGAATTTTGTTATTCCGGGGTTTTTAAGGACGCCAAATACGCTGGTCTAATTATTTTTTGGATATTGCATAGAGGGCGCTAGTTATCCTACATTCCTATTACATTTTAAATTCTAATTTTTTTAAGGTTAGGTTTTTTATCATTCGGGCTCCAATATATAATGTACAATTTTATTTTCTAAAAATAATGTACTCTTGTCAGAACTTCCTAATGTGGCCGGTTTTCGAAAAAAAAAATGCTTTTAATTGAACTCTTACAACATTACGATGTATAAAATAAGTGACTTTTCTCAAAGTAGGCTTATGTCAAAACTTATTGACGGATGTCTCATAAACAACCGCATACATTCTCAGTAATATTTTAAACTCTATTTAAGTTTATATCAACATTTTAGTGATTTTTAGTGACCGTAGTTAATAACGACTAATTACAGTCACTAAAATTTTGGTATAAAATTAATTATGTTTAAAATATTACTAAGAATTTATGCGTTGTTTATGAATAAATAAGTTTTGACATAAGCCTATTTTGAGGAAAGTCACTTATTTTATACACGGTAGTATTGTACGAGTTCAATTAAATGCCTTTTTTCTCGAAACCCGTCCACATTAGGAAATTTCTAACAAGAGTACATCATTTTTAGAAAATAAAATTGGACATTAGAGACTGGAGCCCGATTGGTAAAAAACCAAACCCTAAGAAAATTAGAACTTAAAATGTAATAGGAATGTAGCATGACTAGCGCCCTCTATGAAATATCCAAAAAATAATTAGACCTGAGTATTTGGCGTCCTTAAAAACCCCGGAATACCAAATTTCATAAAAATATTTCCGACCATTTGGAAATTTTCGTAAATATTTTAATTTAAAAATGTTATTATGTCGCTCTGTATATCGAAAACAAGAGGTGATAGTTCATAACACAAAAAAAAATCTTATTTTTTTGTTGTACTATCACCCCTTGTATTTACGGGAGGTCTTTCTGAAACACCCTGTATATAAGGTGTATCATTTTATTTTGTAATTACTAGAAAGCCACCGAGGTGATTCTATTTAAATTTGGCTCGCATTATCTCAAAAGCAAAGTATTACTGGACACAGATTTATTTATTTATTTAAGAACACGAAAATTTGGCCAATTATTTTAGTTACACCCTAAAGTTAACAGTTGCTTTCTTCAACCTAACCTAACTACTTGCCTTTGATATCGGCCGCTATAAAACCCAGGACATTTTCGTGCCTCATCAACACAGTCTGGTATATTTCCGTTTCTCTAAACCAAGAGTCTTCTTCGGTGCTGAAAAAAACCTTGACGGCGACTTTTTCTTCCCTCCATTTACCCAAACAAACCTCACTAAATCTGCCTTTGCCTATAGAGATACCCTAAAATCGATAATTATTAAAAATACTTATAGAATGCTGAAGCTCATTGCAATTACAGAGAGCAGGTATAAAAGGTATTAGTTAACTTCTTTTTGTCAAAAATAAGGAAATAACTTAGTTCAGTCCTATAATAGAAACATTTATCCTTATTTTTAGACAGCAAAATTAAACATACGTGGCGACTTCCATTATAAATACCCTGTATAATAAACAACAGGTGCAGTCTCCACTGTGTTAAAAGTCTATAATCTTCGCAAATTCGTACTGACCATTTCAATCTGCTTGGCGATTGTTCTCTGGACCATCATGGGCAAGCCAGATCCGGATCCACTCGACTGTTCAATGAGCCCTGCTATTCTCCCCACTTCTTTGTCGTCTGCAATGTCATTGGTCACCACGTTATTGTTTACCCTTCCATTTTTCTCCGTCTTTATTCCTAGTTTCTCTTTCTTTCTGTACATTACAAAAACGCTGGTTAGGATGAGGATCACTACGAAACAGCTAACTATTGAAGACATCATCACCATGAACGACAAGCTCTGGAAGTAACTCGTGGAGATTTTCTCCACGTACATGGGAAAGAGGTCCTTGTTGCAGAAATCTTCGTCGTCGCAACACCCAATCAATTTGGTTTTCGCGTGGGGTACCAAGTTACCTTTACACTAAAAAAAATACATATGGTGAACGATTTTTTTCGGGACCTGAATATTAACATGTTTTTCTCGTGACCACCGATTTGTAGGAAGAATAAAAAAATTGCATGATAAAAGTAGTTTTTTTTTATGGGCTTTGAATACGAATCTTATTTTTTTAATCAAATAAATAGTAGTGGAAATAATTAAATTTTAAATCTACAAATGATTTGGTAAAAACAGATTGCTTTTGTATAACTAGCGACGTATCACCATACTTATCACTGTGGTGGAAGCGCCGAACATAAAAAAAACATTCAATCATTTCTTAAAAAATATTTCTTACGCGAAGTATTTTCTTTACTAACCTGCATCAAACCGCTTTCACCGGCCCCGAAACATCCGTAGGACAAAAAAGGATAGTCGTATCCATACTCGTCTACTAAAATTTCCACGGAAGTGAAGCATTTTCCGCCTAAATTAACTTGACAGATACCTTGTTCCTCGCGTGAAGGGCAATGTTCTTCACAGTAGCAATGTAGGGTTTGATCTGCAAACCAGTAATATTTATTTTAAAAATGGAAATAAGTGGCAAATTTCACTTTTTCTACTGCCCACGAAAATTTAGACGACAAATCGGAATATTATTTATTTTATATTGTAGGCAATTAAATTACCTACAATTTAAGGTATCTAGAATTAATTTTCACTAATTTGTTATTTGTAAAATAAAGCTCGAACGCGGAAATATCAGTTTTCTAAGATTGCGCATTATTATTGCAAAAAGCGATGCATGTTGATGAAATTTATGGAAAAGACGGTCAATCCAATGACCAACCAACATGTGCGCCATACCCCGATTCAATTGATCGTGAAATTATTGCTTCAGCTATTTATTAATTATTACATTTGATACAGGGTGATTCACAAACGGTGAACAAAAATAAAACCTCGTATTCTTTAGTGAATTTTAAAAGGAGTCTTTCGTATAAAGTTTTTAACTAGGACGCTTCATTAAAAAGATACAGAGTGTTGGAGTTAAATATTTTTTAATTTTTTTCTAATAATTTAAAAAGTAGTAAGTGAAATAATCTGGGCACATATATTTATGTAAACATTGTCCAAAATATGAGATCTTTTCCTAAAATTTAGATGCTCCGGTGGCAGATATACAGGGTATCGATGGCATATTTTTCTAAATAAAATGGTACGCCACTGCTTTATGGTAACAATCATGATATTTTCGGAATTGTCTTTCACTTTTCTACAAATTACTATGTTATTTTTCGAAAAGAGTCTGATTTTCGAGTAAAACTTAAAAAACGAACTGGAAACATCGGATCTCAACCTACTAGATTTCTTTTTGTGGGGTGCTGTTAAACGAGTGGTATAGAGTGAACAAATTAATACCCCTATGCAGTCAGAAGAAAGAATAAATAATGCATTTCATCAGATTTTTTAGAAAAACGCCTCAGATTTTGAACAATGTTTACATAAATACGTGATCAATTTCAAATTATTTCACTTACTAATTTTTAAATTATTTAAAAAAATTAAAAATATATTTTTAAACGAAACGACTTAATAAAACTTTTATAGGAAAAACTCCCCTTAAAATTCACCACAGAATGCGAGGCTTCATTTTTGGCATTCCCTATAGCTAAAATCAATAACTTATTAGATATTTACCATTTAATAACAAAGAGAGTTTTTAAAAAATTCCTATTATAACAAGTTGGCTGTGGGCAAATGACAGTGTAACAAATTATTATAAAACATTACAAAATATCCGTTGTTATGACGAAATTCTTATAATATTAACCAACTTGTTATAATATGATTTATTTTAAAACTCTATTTTTGTTATTAAAATGGTAAATATCTCGGAAATTAATGATTTTAGCTATAGGGAATGCTTTATAAAAATGAAAGAATATAAAGTGTATTTTCAGTTTTTAAAATAAAACACAGGGTGATTCATTTAAAAAATTGAGAAAATTATATGCTCGAGTTTTGGCTCGACCTATATTCAACTGTTGCAATAATAAAGAAATAGCACATTCTCCTAAAACTGTACCAATATCAAAAAGTTATGCCTGCAAAAAATTATTGTTATGTTGTCCTGTTCAGGGTATAAAGGACGCTGAAAAGGGAATGATTCCCGTATACAATTGACCATAACTTTTGAAATACCCTTTATAACATAATTAATCCCTATATTAGAAGCATGGGAGAGATGAGCTTAATCTAAATTTAAAATAATATATAGGGTGTCCCATTTAAAGAATAGTATGTTTGGTTCAACCTAATAATACGTAACACTCTGTATATACGAAAATAATTTTAAAATGTGCAGTTTTAAGTTGGCTACAATTTTTGTAAATAACTTTTTTTTGATATCTTCTATAATAACGGAGATATCGTACTTCGGCGCACTAATGCCGCACTCTGTATGTTTGAATAATATGTCTACTAAAAATTTTTTCAAATTTTCCGGTTTTATAATCGAATTCGACGTCGTTATTATACAGAGTAAGTCATAATTAGGTGTAAAAAAATAACTTCTCGCCCAAAATAAAATCATTTTCAAACTTTCGTTTCAAAATGCCTTCTTACAAATACACTGTTCATAAAAAAATAATAATATAAACGATTTTATCAGCCTATATTGTTTTAAGACATCATTTTAGTAGAGAGGTATTTTTCAATTAATTTTTTTTTGTACATCTTGATATTTTTTACTTTAGCACTTTACTGAAAATATGTAAGGGTGTTTTTCTATAGAAAAGTGTAGGCTAAAACTAAAAAAACACATTATTTCAGTGTTAGGCAGCGGCATAACACTTTTTTTTACCAAAGTGCTGATTTTCATTATGAGTCACCCTGTATAATCAATATGAAGTAGTTTGATTTAAGAAATATTCAAAACGTTGCCGAAAATCAAACTAATTTCTTTAATGATGCCTAAGAGGCGTAATAAATTTTTTAATAAACAAAATTAACGTATACTACACCTACCACTTCCCAGATAGTCGTAATCCTCGTCGTAATAATCATCTTCGTGCATTTTTCCAAACTTGAGTCACTTCGCACTGTCCCAGGGCAAATCACAAGTAGAACTGTACTTAATTTCTCCTTTGAAATGTCAATATTAGGGATAATCTCCCGTCCGATACCTGTTGGTCGTTATTTGGCCAGGGTCAAAAACCTGGAGGGTGCCGGGTTTGTTGGAAACTTCGCCTTTTTTCTTGGAATCACAAAAGGAGGTTTCAAACCCGTGTTGAACACATTTAAATGTAATTGAATTGATGATAGTAAAATTTGGAGGCGATTTGTTAAAGGCTAGAAAAGAGTGTGTAAAAAGGAGAAATATTCATGGAATCGCTTTTTTCGGACGTGCTTGTTTTTATATGATTTTTTCTGTTAGCTATATAGTACCTATATATTATCACTATAGATGCTAAATATTATGTACAATAACATATTAGTTTCCACAGTCATAAAAATGGGGGAGGGAAGATTGTTTACAGGGTGGTTAATTGTATAATTTTTATGTAAATTCACATTTTTCGCTTATAATTTTTTTCCGTTCATTTCCACGAGAAAACAGTAATGTACTTTTTTTTCGCCTTCAAAAGATCTACAAAACTAGCCCTCGAGCGTCAAAAAATATTGATTAGATCAAAAATTATAAACAGTAGAAGTTTATGTATGACTTTTGAATTAAACATTTATAAACTGCGTTATTATTACCAGAACGTTTCGGCATCGCATCCTCTCATTCCTTATCACTGTCTAATAACTCACACGAAATCTGGAATCGGTAAGTTAAATAATTATTTACCAGTTATGGCCTTATAAACGAATTAACTAATTATTAGTCTGGACGATTCCGAGGATCTTCCACAATCGCTCTGATTTTTTTCATGGTAGATTTCATAATAATACATTGAAATCCATCTTTTTTTTAATTTCAAATTTGCACCCTGGAATTTTTTTTATTATTTAGCCTTAGTTGCAAAATAAAATAAATATACGACGCACGAGCGTGATATATTATTACGTATTCGGAAAGCTCATGAAAAGACCTTTAAGTTAAAAAAAAATCGTCAAGATTCGTTGAAAAACAACATAGTTACACTGTCAAATAAATTATTTTCAAGCGATTTTTTTAACGGCAGGACTATGAATAATATCGTCATTTTCGTCGGACTCGCTGTCGTTCGCTTCCCCCACCCTTCCGCTGCGCCGCGGCTCGCCGAAAAATCAAACGACCCACTGACTTTTAACAATATTTCTTATGCACTTAACATACTTCCACAAATAAAATATTTTTATCTGGAAAAGTACTCGGATTGCCGGTTATGACAGTATTTTTTTTTGCCGCTACCAACATAAATGGTTTAATTTTGACAGTCTGTAACTCCGTTGTTTTTCAACAAATCTTGACGATTTTTTTTAACTTAAAGCGTTTTTCATAAGATTTCCGAATATGTAATAATATATAACTATATCACGCGCATGAGTTGTATATTTCATTTTGCAACTAAGACTAAAAAATAAAAAAACTTTACAGGTTACAATATTGAAATTTAAAAAGAATGATGATTTCAATGTATTATTATGAAATCTACCATGAAAAAAATTAGTGCGTATGTGGAAGATGCTCGGGATCGTCCAGACTAATAATTAGTAAATTTGTTTATAAGGCCAAAACTTGTAAACTATTCAACTTACCGATTCCAGATTTCGTGTGAGTTATTAGACAGTGATCAGGAATGAGAGAATGCGATGCTAAAACGTTTTGGTAATAATAACGCAGTTTATAAATGTTTAATTCAAAAGTCATAAATAAACTTCTTCTGTTTATAACTTTTGATCTAATCAATATTTTTTGACGCTCGAGGGCTAGTTTTGAAGGTCTCTTGAAGACGAAAAAAAAGTACTTGCAAACAATGTTCCCCCCATTTTTAGGACTGTGTATCTTATTGTACATAATATTTAGCATCTATAGTGATAAATTCAGCTTGCCGAAACAAAAAGTCGCGAAATGGTCATTTCCTAGCTCTTTTACCTGGCCTATATGTATACTGCAAGAAATATACACAGGATAGGAAGACAGCTCGATTTATACGTATTTAAAAATTATAACAAACTTCATTACATTATATGTATCACAATACTTACAAGGTGTTAAAAAAGAGTGTAAAAAATCTTAGAAGAAGTATCGTCGTATTTTTTGAGCAGTACTCTACGTCGCCGAAATGTTCGCAGAAACAGTAAAATTTTTTGAAAGAAAAAGCAAATTGCATAGTTTTAAAACACATCCTGACGATAATAAATTATTTGTTAATATCTCCTTTAAGTTTTATAAAAATACTGGTTACTTCTTCATCGTGAGTTCTTATAAAAAAGTACATACAGTGTGTTTCCGGATGGGGTACCGCCCTCTTGAAAACTTTTCCATTGTTGATTTTTCGAGAAAAAGTTATTCTTGATAAAAAGTTTTGCTTATTTAATTTTTATTTAAATTTCTTTTATTGTACTTTTTAATTTTTTATTGCAATTTTTATTCTATATTTTGTAATTATGTTCTATATCTTGTCATTGGTCCATATTTTGCTCATATACAATTATTATCTGTTTTTTATTTGTGTTACGTACTTTCGACAATTTTCGTTACTTTGTATGAGCAGTCTTATGAAATAAAATTATTATTTTTATTATTGTTATTGTTATTGTTATTGCTATTGCTATTGCTATTGCTATTGCTATTGCTATTGCTATTGCTATTGCTATTGCTATTGCTATTGCTATTGCTATTGCTATTGCTATTGCTATTGCTATTGCTATTGCTATTGCTATTGCTATTGCTATTGCTATTGCTATTGCTATTGCTANGAAGAAAGGTCCACAAACTTTATTGCGAATTATTCCGAGTCACACGTTCACAGATATAATATGGTTTTAAAAATTCTTTTTTATTATACTTCTTTGAAAATACCTTATTTTCATCTATGTAACTGTAACTTTTAGCAAACTTTTTGAAGAATGGCGTGTTTTGCGACAGTTGGAGTTTTGTTTTTCGGTTCCCGCTCGAAAGCGGTCACATCAAAAGGTTTCGACTTGTTTTGAAACTCAAGTCTGTTTAGTGGAAACGGTCGTGTTGTGTTTTTTATTCAAGTGATCCAACCCAATATCTATGTTGGCGTTTTCTTCTTCCCAAAAACAATATTTTAATCATTAATGAATTATAGCTATTAAAAAAATATATATGTACGGTTAAAGTGTTTACTTGGCTAGGATACAAACTAACCAAGTTAAACACTTTAACCGTACATATACCATGAACTCCATCGATGGATATTTGGGAAACCGCTCGAAGGATTTTTTTCGAAATTGTGATGGAGTGATACGGACTGTGGAGTCTACCAAGCTAAAATATTTTCAAGGTCATCGTATTTCCGGTTATACCGGAAGTTGATATTAACTTTCTTATTTTAAATGGAACCCCCTGTATATTATTGCAAAAAATTAGGGGTTTCCATTTAAAAATTTCGAGATTTCCACATATTCTGAATTTCATATTCGATAAATTTTTTTGACCACCCTGTATAAAAATTGGAAAATTTTCGTGTCAAATTCGATAAAGTAGGTCTTCCTCTACAAAATGTCCAATTTGCACAAAAAAATAAACCGGGAAAACTAAATTTGCTGACAGTTTGCATCTGTCAATTTTCAAAATCGAAATATCTCGGAAACGGTCAATCCTAAGTATGGAGTGTGCTTTATGTTTTCAACTTAAAAATAGATGATGTTTCCAAAAAAGCAATAATATACAGGGGGTTCCATTTAAAATAATGTAAACAAATCACAAACTCAAATTTTACAATGATTTTATTTTACAATTAGTTGAATACACCGGGTACAAAAGGTAACGCTAAGTGTTTTTAATTTTTGTTTTCTTTAAAAACTGTATTTAACAAAGTTGTTCGAGAACTCAAGAAATGCAGTCTACAATAAAATATCTTAATCGCGAAGAAATAAATCGCAACAAAAAACGGATCACCCTGTAACTACAAATAAAATACATGTTCAAGCAGATAATTTTATTTTTATTAACAAACACGAGTATAAATGTAACATAGCTTTGAATTTATTATTCCTTCTTATTTTAGTACCTCTTCCCAGCAAATATCAATGGGAATGAGTTATGGTGAGCGTTCTGGATGAGGACAATTATGATTTAGTAATAATACCCTTTTCACTCGTACGATGTAAATGTGTGTTGTTTTGCTGTGCAGGGGCCACTAAATCTTCTCAAAACGCAGATATATTTTATTCTTAGGTCTAAGGGCGAAAGTTGCTGGGTCCCTGCCCAGAGGTGTGATGGTTTTGGGACTCAAGGTGACCCTGTACTTTGTGAGCGTCGTTATCAGGGCGACTTTCGTCTGTAGGAGTCCGAAACGCAATCCTAAAAGCAAAAAATACAATAAGTTTTTGAAACAAAAAAGAAAAATAGCACTTCGAAAGGTTGTTAACGTTTTGGAAACATCTGTTTTCGTCTTTTGAACTGATAATGGCTATTTGTTTGTTAGAGATATCATATAATTAATTACTAAGTTTATGTATCAACGCTACATATTTTAAATTAAATAAGTAATGAATTTTATCAACATATTATTTCGGAATGGTAAATGGGGTCTTCATTGTCACCAATCTAAGTGATATTTTTATAGATTCCTTTGAAGAAAATTATTATAATTTAAATGGAACGACATGTAGACGAAATTTTTGCAATTTGGCCTTTTCCCGTTGAGGAGTTAAATATTTTTCTAGATAATATTAATAACAAGGAGCTAACAACTAAATTTACTTTGGAAATAGAAAGCAATACCTAATACATTAGCCTTTATATATATTTTAATAAAAAATAGCAATTCTTTAGTCAACGCACACTAAAAGACATCTAAATTTTAATTCGAATCAAAATATTGACATAAAAAAGGTGTAATTAAATGCTTGTCGATGGAGGCAAATTGATTTTTTCGAAAGATGAAATGAATAGAGAATGTCAAAATAAACAATCAGTACAGGAAGTTGTGTTGAAATAGTTTTTAAGAATATTGAAAATAAAACAAATTCTGTCGGACAGCAATGGGAAATTATATCCACAGTAAAAATTGCATATATTCCTGTACTATCGAAAAATGAAGGAGAGAAGACAACAAATTTAATTTTAGAGCGGTTTTTTCACACAAGTAATAATTTGTTGTCAAAGACGCGCCCAAATAATGATGTTGAACGTTAAAAAATTGCATCTATAGCTTGCCTTCTTCAAAATGAAAGAAAATCGCAAATATCTCATTTGGAAATCGTAACCCCTAAAATGCCTATATCAGTGAAAAGAGAATTTGACATTCTATAATACGGTGTAAAAATACAGGGTGTTCCATTTGAATTGAAAAGGTTTTGTCGATTTTTACGTTTTCAAAATGTAACTTAAAAAATGGTTCACTTGGTATAATATTCTTCAGATAATCATGAGTGGAAGGTAGTGCATATTATGTTCTTTGTGTGTTCCGAAAAGCATGTGAAAGCTCCCAGAAAGAAGAAAGATATAAGGAATTTTCGAAACGCTTGAGTCAGTCAAAATTGTATAAAATGTCGATTATCTCTTGAACGGTTATATTTAGGTACAGGGAAGGGAACATTTTTGACTTATTTTTAATTTGTCGATAATGCAATAATATACAGGGTGTTCCAATTAAAATAAACAAGTAGATGGCGACTTTCTGTATAACCGGAAATGCTACAACAATGGCAATATTTTATTTAAAGAGAGCACTCCCCCAAGATCCCCTAGCCTAAATTTTCAAAATTGAAATCGAAGAAGTCCCTGAAATATTCTAATGGACCGTTATCAAAAGACGGCCTGTATACCGCTTTTATAGCGAGAGATTATTTCTGTTGTTTACTTTTTCTTTTAATATTTATAAGCAACAAGAATTTCCGCTCATTGGAATTGCTGGTTCACACATATATTATGCTGTGGTATCAAAAGTATGCCTTCTTTCGTTTCATTGATCGATTACTAGTCCTACATCTACTTATACTTTACCTATGCAATTCCTAGGGCCGTCGCCAAAAGGTAGGAACGTCAACAGTTGTCTCTTTTGCTTGTTCTCTTCACTGAACCGATCCGGATCCCATCGATCCGGATCAGGCCAATATTCGGGATCGTGGTGTAACCCAGTAACGGAAATCATTAAAGGAGTCCCCTTGTCTACCGTAACGTCAGAGTTTTTGAATATGTAGTCTTTAGTACACACCCTTGTTAACGTTTGGACAGATGGCCATATTCGCAGAGTTTCTGAAAATAAAAAAAATACAGGGTGTTTAAGAAAGACCTCCCGTAAATTCAGGGGGTGATAGTACGACAAAAATTAACAATTTTTTGTTTTACGAACTGTATGTCTATCTGCTCTTGTTTTCGAGATACAGAGCGACAAAATAAAAATTTTTAAATAGAATT